GTTTTGGATGTGTACTGTGATAGAGACGTATTGGGGCAAATTCAGTGCACATTATTATCAGTTTCATTGTGGCCTGTGTAATGAATTTAAAGTATGGCCCTCCTATACATATAAAATAGGATCTAGCCATGAATACAAAGATATAGATGGATTTAAAGAAAGGGTTTCACAATGTGTTATAATGATTTCACAGTGAGTTAATCTCATTGAAGGATTTAAATGACACAATAAATAACAAGAAAAAAGTTTGATCTGATTTCAGAGTTCTAATCTGATTTGCAAGATTAGGTTACATTATTTAATCCACTTTCTGACATGTTTTCGCATTATAAGCTATTGGAGAGAAAGTCCACCTGGGTCTAGATTTGCTCTATTTATGTAGCATTTTATATTGTTCAGAATTTGGCCAATTGTTCAACTCACTCTTAGCTTTAAAGTAATTTTTCTGCAGCTCTTAAAAGAAACTTACAGAAAATCAGTTTGTAAACTAAGACTGGATTTACGAATGTGCCAAATTCTATATGTTCTTAAATGTTACATAAATACCACAAATTTGGACCTTGGTGAATTTCTCTCCAAATATCCTAGCATGTAACTTTATAAAACATTTTATCTCATTCATGAAAATTCCATGCTATCTATTTTAAGAGCGTTATTTTACTGCTTGTTTGCTAGAAAATGATTGGCAAGAGATTACTTGGAGTCATATGTATAGCATGTGTTAGAGAGAATTATTGGTGACTGGATGTAAACAAGATAATTATCCCAGGATTCCAGTGCCCTTTTAACCTCAGAGAGTAAGAATCCGGATTTTAGATGCAGTCAAAATCCCAAGGTTAAACTATAGCAATATTAGTCACTCTAGCACTTTAATGTTTTATATTCTAGTAGTAGCAATAAAGTTAAAACACTGCTAATAATAACAATAATGATAACTAATCCTTCCATTTGACAGAGCATCTTATCACATCATCCAAACATCGCAAAGTGCTTCACGGGATTTCTAATAAATAAAAATTATTGCACTTGATATAGCACTTTTCACATCCAGAGAAAATCTCAAAAAGCTTCACAGGATTTACTGTAAAGTGCAGTGACTGGGTATTTTGTAGGCAAATATGACAACCGATTTGCGTACAGCAATCTCCTACAAACATCTATGAAATTAATGATTAATTTTATCTACAGGATTGCTGGCCAGGACAAAAGGAGAAACTCTCTTCACTATTCCAATAGTAATAAGTAGACCATGTGAATTCAAGATCCTGACCTGAGGCTTGAACCCACAGCCTTCTGATTCAGAGGTGAGAATTCAGCTAATTAACCCAGGCATCTCTGACAACACAGCACATTTGATCTAATCCTTTCAGAATGCTCCCCTCATCCTCCCATAACACCACCAAGCCTTGTTTTAAATGAATCCGGAATCCTGGTTCTCAACCAGCCTTCCTGGTAACCTGTTTCAATCATTAATTATCTCCTGGGTAAAGAAATACTTCCCGGTATTTGTCTTGAAATTGCTCATTGCAGCTCTAAACCTGTGCAATCTTGTTATGCTGCCTCAGTAATTGCAGTTCGGGGTTTTTCAATCCCACTTAAAATTTTATATACCTCTGTTAGGTCTTTCCACTTTGAGATGTTTCCTATCAAGACTGAAGAGCATTAGCGTCTCTAATTGCTGATCATAGCTGATTCCCTTAACACTGTGGATTATCTTTGTTATGCTCCTCTACACTGCCGCAAAGCCTGGGCAGCTCCCTGGGCATCTCACAGTGACCAGCGCTCTATGCAGCAGAACGGTACGCAGTACTCCAGGTGCAACGTGACCAGAGCACTATACTGAGCTTGGGTTTAACATTTGGGGATCTGAAGTAAAATGATTTAGCAATGTAGCCTAGCATCCTGTTTGCCTTGTTTATTGCTGCCACCAGGTCCCTTTCAGCATCCCCTTTGGCAAGTTCTATCCCATCCAATGGAGTACATGTGTCTCCTATTTTTACTTCTCATATACAGTGCCTTGCATTTTGAGAAGTTGTGAAGCAAACTGAAAAGCATGTGGTAAATATGAAGACAATTACAATATAAAAGATAATCAAGAGGCGAATTGTAGCTACCTATGGGTCCCGCCTTGGTTTTGTAATTGCACAGGGCGCTTACATGTCTTAAACCTAACCATTCGTCATTCCATCTTTGCAATAATGATAATAATGACAGATCTTCACAACCCCCTACAGTGGTATTTTTCTCCTGTTGGTAATATTTCTGCAAGAAAAGCAACAGGAGGAAATTCCAATAATATGGACATTTTGCTGATTAAAAAAGCAAGTTGCCATTTTCTGCTAAAAGTACAAGTTCGCTAGCAGCGGCTTCTGAACTCTGTGTTGAAAAATTAAGTAAGACATTTTATTGAATCTGAAGAAAACACATAAGGAAATCAATTCAGCTAAGAAATACAATTTTTGCCTGTCTCTAAGGCTTCCTGATTATGGGTATTGAAACGTGGTCAGAGTAGGCTTGAAGTCTGGTTGTGTGCAGAGTACTAGACTTTTGGCAGAGCATACAGAGAAATCAGTGGCAGGTTATGGCAAATGCTCCAAATGAAATTTTCTTGCACTGCTTCTGATATGCAGTCATTCCTGTGAGATTATATCCAGCATGTTTCCTTTCAAGACTGAAAACCTATTCTGTTTGACCTTTGAGAACTTTGAGCTGTTAAACTTTCAAGTTAAAGTTAGCAGACCAGCCAAATTCTTTTGAAAGTTAGAATAGGTCATTGGAATTTGAAGCAAAGCGCTCACTGTCACTTGAGGGCTGGTGGTCAGTGCATTGTGAATTTCTTCAAATACATAGTCAGAGGCCACAATAATAGCCATCTCAGTTACTCTATGCCATGAAGGTTACATTGACAATTATAATATAGATAATTATTTGGGGAGGGCAAGTTTGCAGGGCTATGGGGAGAGAGTGGGGCAGTGGGATTGATTTGGATAGATCTTTCAAAAGAGCCAACACAGACACAATGCTCCAAATGGCCTTCTTCTGTGCTGTATAATTCTATGATTCTATGACATTAAAACATTTCCTTTAGAGCTCATCTGCATGGCAAAATTGATGCCTTGACCCTGGGAGAAACAAGTTTGTTGTGTTTGATGCAAGCACATATTTCCATGGTTAAGGCATTTGTTTTGCCATGCAAATGACTTATGAAGGATTATTATCGAATTTGAACCCATTGCGCATTTCATCATAAAATTGTACGCTGTAGATCTAGAATTTCATGGAGCGCAGAGAGTAGCTCTGGCCTTGCTGGATAGTGTTTACCACAATTTCTACAACACAAGCTGATGAAGGTGAAACTAAACCTTCCAAAACATCCTGTTTTCCACTCAACTTTAGTTGAAAGAGGAGACAATTAACCACCAGCATCAGCAAGCTTAGGTGCCCAGTTCTGGCATTTGCGGTGCGTTTTACTCGGGGTTTGCAATAATAATAGTTTATATTTATACAGCATTTTTCACGTCAGGAAATTGTCTCAAAATGCTTTACATAGCTGGCTGGGTACCCGAGGACTTTCCCTTAATGCACCATGACATTGTCCTGTACCATTATAATAATACTAAACCTTGCATTTTTGTAACTTTTAGTGAAATGCCTTATATTCCAGTCCACATATGGCAACTTGCTGATCTGCATGTATTATGGCTACTGTACTGTACTTTTTAAGCAAAGAAGGACATGAGATTACACTATATTCAAAGAAAATACATCTGATTTATTTAGATTAGAAGCAAGGCAACAAAATGTTCTTCTCAGATCCACAGTATGTAAAATGTTTTGAAACTCTGATGTGAAATTTGTTCATGAAGTAATAATTTCCACATACATGTACAGGAAAGGGAAAATCATGCCACAATAGGTAAATTGTTGTTACTATAATAATGGTGACTCATTCCCGGTTTGATTTTGCCCTTGTACACGATGGTACTGTATAAGATAAGCAGCAAAACATTTCTACTTTATTTGGTTGACCCCAGTTCATCTGTCTCCAACAGGTAGTGAGTGTTATAGAAGTGGTTAACAGTGACTCTACTTTGTGTGGAGTCCTGTAGGGTATTGGTTAGAGCACTCGCCTTGCAAGCGAGAAGATCCGGGTTCGATTCCCGGACAGGGTGAAACCTTAGGCAAGTTTCCTTACTCCACACGTCTATTTACCTTGCAGTAAGTAGGAAGCCACTCATTAGTCGATTGCCGGATCGCTTTCTGGTATAATAATCCCTCAAAAAAAATTATAATAATTTGGTCACTCAGTCCAAACGAGTATTTGTGGGACACTGCTGTGTGAAATTGGCTGCCGTGTTTCGCCTACAAAATATACTTTTGTCAATTTACTTTACAGTATATTTTGTGATGCGCCTTGAGACGTCTCAACGATGTGATAAGGTTCTATATTAAGGATTATTATTATTATTATTAAGTATGCTGGTAAATCAATGTGTGCTACACTGACTTGCGGGAACTCTGCTGAGTCATTATCCTATAAATTTTACCCACAAATATACAGTCAATTCACTTTACAGTATATTCTGTGAAGCGCTTTGAGACGTCCAGAAGACGTGAAAAGCGCTTTATTAAATGCAAGGATTATTATTATTATCCTCTTCTGGTTACTGGAGCTTCTGCCAATCAACGTGAAGCATTTACACTTGTTATTCGCTGTTACCAATTCATATAGGGATCGCCACATATTTGTCCTCATTTAAGCACTCTAGGCTGCTACACTGTGTGAGGGGAGGCTATATAAATGTACATTGTTGTTGTTACAGCATGTTGGGATGTCTTCCTGACATGAAGGGTGCTATACAAATGTAATATATTGTTGCTGTTTTGAACCGAGTGAAAGGTGTGATTGACATTGAAAAAATATCACTGTATATTTTATTAAATGTTGTTTAGGATCAGTTATAGCACCGTGAAATATAAGATAAAACAAGTCAATGTAATTTCCAAAACAAAAAAAACACCTTTTAATCTGTTTTCAAGAAAACAATACAGCAATGACATACATCTTTAAAAATGCGTCGGCCGGTCTAAACACCAGTTTGTCTTTTTAATATGCACATTGCATTATTGAAGCCAAAGAATCCTCAGACAATGTTTAAAAGTATTTACATATCATCACATAGGTAGTAAAGTTTTAACCTATAACATGGTGATAGTTTGTGGGGGTTTTTTACAAAACTTACAAAAAGATAATGCAATAACGAATTTACCTGAGAGGAAATTTGTTCTTAAAACAATGTTATTTTTTTTCTAACTACCAAAAGACTATACGGATGATTCTTAAAAGACAGAAGATGTATAAAGTGTCCTGTTGTGGACACCTGCTTAGCTATCGTCTTTAAATTAGATAAGTACCATTAACTTAGAAGGTTTACATTCATTGCAAAAAGTAGGTTGTTTAATTTTGAACCATTTTTAATTTAACACTGATTGTAGCAATGCTAATTGCACTTGTATTTATGCAGTAAAGTTGTTAGTATGTGGAAGAATACATCCGTTTATTACCCTGTTTCAAAAACATTGACCGACCAGCATCTAGTCAATGACTCCAATGGGAACTTCCAGAATTCACATTGCAATTAACTGACCTCCATCATCAGTATTGTCATTTCAAAACATAATTTATTTTCTTTTTAAATTGTCGCATGAATATACTGGAATAGTAACGTGGGACTTGTTTCCATCAGTTACATTGATAAAAATTAGGTACCATCAGATTACTCTTAACTACAGTACTGAACATTGCCTCTGCTCTGTTGCTTTGCGTCCGTCCTGGCCTCGAGGCTATTTTGTGTTCTGAAAGTACTCGTTACAGCTTTTATGTTAAATAAAATGAAACGGATCCAAAGTAAACAGGCAGCTTTGCTGGCTGCTGGAGGACGTGCCTTTCCTTGGAGATAGGGAAGAAATTATGTTCAGTGATGTGCTGTTATCTGACGCCATGGAGCTGTTCTTCATCATTCCACATTGGCTGCTGGAAAGGTTGATAGTCCTGCAAAATTGAAGTCAGTGGAAAAAGAAAACACATAAGGAAATGTTTGGCACGTTGCCTCTGCAATCAAAGGTTATAAAAATGATGAATATTTTAACCCCTGTGCCATTCTTTCTTGTAATTATTTTTAATAACGTCTGAAATTGGTTGAGGGCATGATGTTTAAAAGCAAACAAACAGAGAGATGGTGTCAGGTCAATCAAGTGCCACAGTGCCTCACCAATCCTATCCGTCAGAAACGCAATCTCAACCACAGAATTTAAGACTGACTCCAGCACTGTTTTTGACCTGCAAAGAAAGGGCACCACTTTCTGAGTACTAATTTCTCCTTGGGCTGACATTGGCGAAGAGGTACTAGTCCACAAAGATTAGAGAATGCATTCTGACTACATCAAAGCTGAGTGGCAAGGCGTATCAATACACGTAAGCAAAGAAAAGGCTTGGCTTCAAACAAAATATTAACCAAATCAAATAGTGAAGGGAAAGAGCTATGCTGTTCAGTTGTAGCTTCAAATTATAGGAGCTCTTTAATAAGCAAGGTATGTGAACTATCGAGGATATGATTCCATTTCATTTTTAATAGATAGCGCCTCTGTCATCCAATATTTGGTTGAGAATATCATGGCAACAAAACTATTTTTCCATTAACACTTGCAAAATCACCCAAGTAGCAGCAGCATTTTGTATGAGTAATGAATGTAGTTGTATGTGAAATCAGTTAGGTTCCACATGCCACGTTCTTAAAATTAGATCTCCTCCCCCTCCCCTCCCTTCCCCATAAAGAATGTAGCAAATATGCAGGGAGCAACTACAACATGAATCCTTGCTTTTTTCGCAGAGCAAACTAACTCTGAAAGTGGGAGTGGAAATGAGCACAGAAACTGGCTGATATTCAGCATTTTGCCGTGCAAACATGCACCACTGTGACAAACTATTGATAATAATATAATGGTAATCCTTTTTGGTTTGCATAACAGGAGGACCCGCAGATTAATTGAAGGAAGATAGACTTGACGATGGGAAATCTTTATCTCGTTCAGGATCAAACAGGTAAAGTCTGCTAGTGGGAGCTTACCCCTGACGCTGTGACTGCGGTCTGGCCAGAGGGTGAGCCGCTTTTCACTCTGGGCATCTCCTCTTGATTAGATGTAGAAGTCGAGGAGGAGCTTGGAGTCATTGGCACTGTATTGCTTGTACCTGTAACATATTCAGCAGGCAGTCAGTTAATCTTGTTCCATGTGTTATTTTAACAATAAAAATCCTTGCTTTTGACACAGTGCCTTATCACTCCATTACTCAGTAATTCCTGCAAAGCGCTTTGAGACGCCCTTACAACATAAGGCACCAAACCAAATGCAAGGATTATTATAATTATTGTTATCACATCATCGAAACATGCCAAAGAGCTTCACAGGATTTACTGTAAAGTGTATTTATTGGTGAACGTTTATGCTTATTTTTGCATCGCTTTTCCAGTAATAATAATGATAATAATTCTTGCATTTGATATAGCTCCTTATCATGTCATCAAGACATCTCAAGATGCTTCACAGGATATACTGTAACATGATGTGACTGTATTTATTTTCTGAGTGAAATACAGTAGGAATTTCATACTCACTTGAAGGACTCTTAGACTTGTTTAAATTCTTAGGCTTTCGTTTTCTAGTCTGGATTCCTTCTTTCTTCATTGCCAATGGCCGTGGTACCTTGAGATAGAAGGTAAAATATTTATTTTAAAATTGCGTCATGAATTTTGCTTATCGCAGCAGAAATAACAAATTTACAATGCACATAGAAGTTGTTACATTATCGATAGTTATCATAATGTCAGATTCCCACCATTCTGCCATTCTGAATACGAACATTAGTTTTACACATAACAAAGTAACCACACATGATCATTCCATGGAGTATACCAATACCACTTGTGTTGGGTAACCGTTTCATAGTTACAGGTTAGACAGGTTTGATGGATGCAAAATAGCGCCAGTGATGGATTAGCCTGAGACAGATTAACATAAAAGATATTCGTCTGTTTCCCGCCTTCTTCTATGCTATAAATTTCTATGGTTCTTGTTATCTAAACTGTCCTCATGTGAAATATATCAATGTTTGCCATCTGATTTTTATAAATTCATTATAAAGTTTACAATTTCAACAGTCTATTACCAAGACGTGAATTTATCTGAATGAGTTCCTAAACATTCTCAAGGTGAGAGCTCTGGTTGTCTAGATTTAAAGGATGTACTGTGGGTTAAAGAAGATCACATACCCCATGAAGTTTCATGTAAAGTCCACAGGCATTGCAGACTGGCTCTCCTTCTGCATTCCTGCGCCATAAAGTTGTCGTGGCTGTGTGACAGTTGGCACAAGCCAGGCCAATCCGTCTGGATGAAGACTGTAAGATAATGAAACATAAGTAATAGAATCATAATGCACAAGAAATTATAATAATCTTCACATTTAATATAGGGCCTTACCATGGCGCCAAAATGTCTAAAAGTACTTCACAAGATTTATTGTAAAACGCTGTGTCTGAGTATTTGTTGGTTAACTAAGCAACCGATTAATATATAGCAGCCATCCCATAAACAGCATGAAGTGAATGACCAATTTTATATGGGAGATTGTTTGCCAGGACACAGGGAGAAACTCCATTTTCTTTTCCAGGTAGTAGGATCTTTAACATCCACTTGAATTGGCAGACAGGACCATAGTTTAACATTTCATCCAAAGGCAATACAATACTCCTCCAGCATTGCATATAGGATTGCATAGAATTACAAAAAATGATATGGCACAGAAACTGGCCTTTTAGTTAATTAATCCATGTTGGTCTTTATATAATAATAAACCTTGCATTTGATATATTTTCTTATCACATTGCAGCAACATCTCAAAGCTCTTCACAGAATATACTGTAAAGTGAATTGACTTTGAATTTTGTGAGCAAAACGCAGCAGCCAATTGTGCACAGCAATGTCCAACAAACAGTCATGGATTGAGTGACTTTTTTTTATTGAATATTATCCTCAGAAAGCGATCCATGAATCGACTAACAACCAGGTTCCTATTTACTAGGAGTCCATGGCTCAGTGGTTAGAGCATTCGCCTCATAAGTGAGAGACCTGGGTTTGATTCCCAGCAGGCAAAAATTTGGACAAGTTTCCTTACTCCGCAAACCTGATGATAATTCCTCAAGAAAGAAAAAAAACAATAATGGTCACTTCAATCCATGACTGTTTGTGGGACACTGCTCTGTGCAATTGGCTGCTGCATTTTGCCCACAAATATACAGTCAATTCAGTACAGTATATTCTGTGCAGCACTTTGAGACGTTTAGAAGACATGGAAAGGGCCATATCAAATGCAAGGATTATTATTATTATTATTACTGCTAGGTAAACAGACTCCATACAATTCCCACCTCTCCTATTCCACTGGAGTGTCAGCCTAGACTGTGGGTTCATTGAAGACAAGTATTTAATTCTACGTTATTCTTCGATTACTTTGGATTTCTGAACTACAAACTGGGGGACAAGATCAAGTGTAGCAGAACCATAGATTGTGATATATTTATTACATTCACAAGAATAGAGGGAGTGTTATTGATCAGTCTGCTATAAAGAGACTGCCTGTGATTCATCTGTGGTCACCACTGACTTACAAGATATCACATGGTTAAGTACACTTGATAAGAATTTTATTCTTCTCAGAGCAAAACAATCTGTTTCTACTCCTTCGAAGTAGAATAGACCCCAATACTTCATCTGTAGTACTCTATTTATAGCTTCAGGTTATATACAACAACGTGTACTTATACAGCACCTTTCATGTTGCATGAATGTCTCAGAGCACTTCACAAAGACGTTGGGGGTCACTGAGCAGGCAGGAAAGTGAGAGGAATTTTGAGGGTGTTCACAAAGATATATATTTTTAAGAGGACTCTAAAGGCACAGAGAGAGGGAAAGGCATTTTTGGAGAGAGTTCCAGACAGAGGGATAAACTGGCTAAAGGATGTGAGGAATGAGCAGTAGACCAGAACTGGAAGAATGATGGTAGACAGAGAGGGACAAGATCGTTTTGAATAATGCCATGGGACCTATAGACTCCACTTGAACAGGCAGGAGGGACCTTGACTTAACATCTAATTTAAATCTCCTAACGACGCTGCCCACCCTAACACTGTAAGCTTAAAATCCCACAACATTCTGACCCGGAAACAAGTACTACTAATTGATGGCAATAAGACTGGCTGATATATTTCTGTTGATTCACTTTAATATTGTCTAATGCAATGTGTATATCATAGAGTGCGAGCCGAGGAATAGGATGAGCATTGTGAAGGAATCCAAATTACCCAATACCAACATAACCTGCTGCCAGTAGATAGAAAAGTTGGAAATAAGTCACGAAGAAGGAATTTGCATTGTTTTAAAGCACTTTTTTATAGCCGGGGGTGGACTGACTATATGGGAAATCGGGAAAATTCCCGAGTACCCCATGGATGGTATCCGAGAGCCCCTGTGATTTGTTCCCGATGCTTCTACCCTGTACAGCACAGTTTAGAAGTTCCATTTAAGCTCGACAAAGTTTTGAAACATGCAGATGTTTCATGCTTTTTGGTGTCCACGACAAATTGGTGCCCCCATTTTAGCTGACAATCTGAGCCCTTTCGGGGAGCCAGTCTGCCACTGCCTATAAGACTTAAATGTCTCAAAGTGCTTCATGGCAATCCCTATCACATGTGGTGACTGTTTTATTTGGCAATCATGACAGATAATTTCCTTGCACCAAAGTCCCACAAACAGCCATGAGGTGTGAATAAATCTAAAGGATTGTTAGCCAGAATATTTGAAAATCTCCCATCTCTGTTCAAGGAATGTTATAAGCAGGCAGGCGGGATATTTTGACAACCACGTAAACAGACAGACCAGTCTTGAAACACTTTAAACGACAATAAGAGTCTCTGAGAAGGGAGGAAGCTTAAAAGAATTTTGAGGAGTGTTTTAGAGTATTCCCTTAGCAGTGGAGTGCAAACCTAAACTATGTACTATCATATTCTGAGATTGAGCAACATTTTTAAGACTTTGCTGTCTTGTAATTCGCAATTTGCCGTTTTATGAATTCTGCCACCCCACACTATCGAATAGCAAATTGAGTCCGATTTGCGAGTATTACATTTGAGGGCTCATAGCGAATGGTATTATTATAAAAACACTCTTTCAAATAAATAAGAGTATGAGCAACATTTTTTTTCTTTCACATTTATGGCCATAAACTTGAAAGAAAAAGAATCCCCACCCAATTAAAGTAAATAAGTCAATAAATAAAAAATTAAGTTGGCAGAGCGCTAAACTAATAGTTACTGAGGGGCGATCCCTCAGGAAAGTCCCTTTCAAAATTATTCGATCTAAATTTGGAGAGGTCATTGAAATATTAGTGGTCAGCAATCCTTTGTCCCTAGGAGCTCTAAATATCTACTGCAGTTTACACCCTCCAGCAAAGATTAGTCACCTCAATAAATTATCTAGATCCGGTGTAAATTGTCAGGTCGCACCCACGTTTATACCCCCCACGCGCTTGATTTGCATTAAATCAGTGCATCATTGCTCAGAAAAGAATATATTCTGCGGCAACACCTGGCATGGAAATTCAAAGTTTAATACTGGAAAACTGGGTGGGGTTGACCTTTGTGTTTTGCAAGTACAGTACAAAGTCTCAACATACGAACAGAATTTCCATTAACTCGTTCTTCATTCCTGGTTCATGAGCTACATAGAGAATCAAGAGTGTTTTGTTTTGCCGTAAATCTATGGTGAGAACTGTGATAGTGTTGCAATAATGTCTGGGGTTCAAAAGCAGTGTCCAAACTCTGGCTGCAAACTGAAGGCACTGCCTGGTGGGGGAAGAGTGTTGTATTGTAACCCTGTTATTACATAAACCCCTTCGTCTTCACAGAAGCTGTCGGTCTGTTGATTCGAACACAATCTACTCACTATTGTCTTATCTCAATACCACAGTGTCCATTTGTCTCATTAAATTAAGTGCCCAAGGTGCCAATAATCCTGCCAACAGATTTACATCGTCTTTAATTTTGCCCTTTTTCTCTAAAGTGGAAGTGAATAATGTCTTTTAAAAAGGACAGTCAACTAATCAACACTCTTTAAAAGTTATAAGGCAGTTAACAAGGTTACGGAGTAGATGCAATAAATGTGATAAACAGATAATAAATCCTATTTGTATGTCTAGAAGATTTGCCTGCTCCACAACAACTTTTTTTTAACCTTTTAGTGTTGATTTATTTAACACTACAGACAGTCTGGAGAACCCAATGCAATACACAAATGTGCATTTGTGTCAACTTGTGACAGGCACGTTAAATACAGTCATCAGCACAACACATGTCAATTCAATGCGTAAGTCAAGTCTGGACCTTTAGCTCTTGGTGTTTATGGTGTTACACAATAAATTAATAATTAATTTATTTCAAGTGAAACAAGTTCAGTATTGATTTTCCAGTTATTATTGACTGGTTTGCACTGGTTATTTAAGAGTGGGATTACAGCACATCATTTTACTCCCCAACCAGTTTCTATAATCAAAATTAGCTGAGTTAAACCACTGGCGGGTGTAATTATTTTTTGGATTATAACATGATTGGATTGGCCGAATAAATTGGTGGAAATACGCTAAATGTAATTTTCCTTCCTCTCCAGTATCTAAAATCAAAATTAGATGCCAGGAATGAAGAGTCTAATGTTATATTAACAATTGTGAAGCTATATACTTAATTTACCCACACTGACCTGGCATAAGACTCCTGGGGAACACAACTGATACTGTGTATTAACAGCCAAATCATAGAAAATATCGATCTGGGCTAATTCATTGCTTCTCTGTCAAATGTAATAATAAAACATATTAACAGTACATTGCGTTTTATTTTGCACAGCATATTATTTCAAAGAAGCAGCTAGTGAAGATGTTTAATATGTTATGTTAGACTAAACATCTCAGTAGCAAAGTAAAAGATGTTCTCTGAATAACTGTTAACTTTATTCTTTCCAAGGCTTGCCAGTGCAATTGTCAATGTGGTTTGACGTATGTATGGGTTGGTCTGGGTCCAGCAGGTGTTGTACTTACCATTCTTTTCTGAGGTTTGATCAGAGGTCGACTGAGTCCATTCATCTTATGGTATAATCCACAGGCATTGCACAGATAATGCCCAGTACCATCGCGCCGCCACAAGGGAGTGGACATGGAACCACAGTTGACACACTCCCGTGCCTCAGACATTTCATCCAGCAGTTCTATAAAGAACACAGAGAGATGGAATCCATGTTATAAAAACAATTAATGCACAAAATAATTCCTAACATATACACTAAAATGAATGGAATTATACTAAGTCAAGTGTCGCGTTCTCTTCACATTGTATCTGTTGTCATAATAATAAAAATCCTTTGCGTTTGATATAATGCCTTTCACATCAGGAGGATGTCTCACACAGAAAGTGCAATGACTGAACTTCGTAAGTGAAATTGATGGGAAACAAGAAGCATAATAACTTTTGAGAACTTCTAATCCTATAACTAAAATTATATAATGAAAGCTGCCTCTGGAGAAACAATGTCCACATTTATATCTCATTTAACAACAGAAATATTGGAGTTTTTTATTTGGTGCTCCCATTCCCACATTTTTTTACAGCAAGGATTTTAAACAAAGGGAACTAAAAATATTGTATATGAAGAAAGTGGGCATTATTACTATAATTAGTAAAAGCAGTAAGTCTTTTATTTCCAGTGTTATTTTCACTCACAAATCAGTAGCGAGTGTTAAAACATTTTTTAAATTTACAAAGGTTTTCAGCAAATGACTAATAGTCTTTTAAACACACCGTCAGTGTGCCTCTCAAAATATTGAATTCAAATTAAATGACACCATACAATTTTTATTGTAATTTGGGTTTTATTTGCCTGGTTTGACTGCTATTTGACTGTTGTACTTGGATTTATTGTATTGTAAACTGTAGTTTTAAATAAAACATTCTATTGTGATTTCCAAAGCTGTTCACCTGTTCCTTATCAAATGGTTCTTTCAATATAACCCTATGAAATTATACTGTAGACTAGTGAATTCAACCTGGTGGAAAAGTACCTTACATTAATCACTGCAGTCACTGATACAATTTGTGGCCAGTAGATTAGATTCAGCTATATGTTAAGATTTTTTTTAAACATGATACAAAAGTGAAATACGGGTTTATTTTCACTTTTCCGTTATAGCTTCATGTAAATTGCTACTGGTCGAAGTAAATTGGATGTGTCCCATTAAGTAGCCTTATCATGCTGTAATATATTTAAGTTTCACCCACAAAATATGCAGTCAATTCACTTTAGTGTATTCTGTGAAGCGCTTTGAGACATCTCAAAGATGTGATAAGGCGCTATAATCAAATGCAAGGATTATTATTATCATTATTAAGATACTCCTCTATATATCTGGTGCATGTTGTATTTTTGTAAAAACATATGGGAGCTTCTCAATAGGAAAAAAGGACAGTAAAACACGGTCCTATTGAGACCTGTATTTGTTTAAATGGCCTAAGAACGGAGTACTTTAATGTACATTTGTATTAGATTACCAGTTGGAAACAAACAGTTTGTAAACCCAAGGAGCGGGAGAGGACCGGAGAGCTCAGTGGGCTGTTTTTATACACAATGCATTATTTAACATTGTTTATCATTTAGCAGAGCCGTTTCCATATATATATTTTCTGTAGATATCTTTTAAAAATGTACAATTTTAATGGGTAAGAGAGATTGCTACATATTATAGAACAGCTTGTTTCGCCCATTCTTTGTGTAGATGTGTGATAAATGTGATAACATTGAGATTTTTTTAGTATCTCATATTCCGATAACATTGAATACATTAACTGTTTTTTTCCCCTCTCTCTGTGGTGACACATTGTTGAGTCAAACTTCTGTTCCAAAATACAAACGCCACAGCTTTCGTCTGGATGTTTTCAAATGAACAGAGTTTTGCATTGCACACTGATCTTCATCGAGATCAGAAATACCTGATCACAAACTCCAATCTCTGTAGCTATAATTCCACAGCAGCAATATTAACGTTTGAAAGACTGCTTAACCTTCCTGTAATTGTCCCAGTTAATAATAATGATGATGAATGCACAGGGTTAATAAAAACCCTGTATGCTTCAAGACACACTTTGGAGTGTGTGCAACTCCAAGAAATAACTTGGCCAGTGCGGTCGTTCACTAAACCTAATGCACATTAAATATTGTGGGCTTCACATCATTTCCGACAAGGCTCTGTTTTTTTTTGTCTCCTTTTATTTTTTTTAAAAAAAAACCCATCAACGAATATTTTCCTTCTTTGAACTCCCCCCCCCCCCCCCCCCCCCCCCAAATCGGTTGACCTAACAGATAAAGACAAGACACATCCATTCGGAGTCGCTGTGTGTATTGAGAGAGCTCTGCGGGGGGGGGGGGGGGGGGAGAGAAAGAGAAAAAAAAATTCCCTTTGGCTGGATCAGAAGGTAATTTACAAATCTGCACTACAAAGCAGAGTTTGCAGACTGAGTCTGTCCCAGATTGATCGCTGCCACAGTAAACATCAAAGCGGTGGGTGAAAATGGGAGAATTAACCTTTTTTTTAAAAAAAAATTCGACTGCAGTGGCTGCACAAACGCACTCACTGTCTGCTGCAAAGACAGTGCAGTGCGGCGGTGCTTCCCGACCCCGACCTCGCAGCCTTGTTTTATTTATTCGATCGGTTGTAAGTTTGCTCGGTTTGGGCTATGGCAAAGTTTTCATTGTTTTAGGCACCATTTCTCCAGCCCTCGTGTTTGAAGCCTCCGCTGCGGGAAGGTCGCTTGGAAAGGTACAGCAGCGAATGAAGTCTGATGCCACAGAAAGGGGATAAATACATTAACATCCGAGAAGCCTCGGCAAATGGTGCAAATTTGCGCACATTCTCACTGTCTGGGCTCTGTGTGACCACACTGTGCAATCACCCGCCTGTTACCGTAAAGGAGCAATCGGCAGAGCATCGGCAGCCGTTTGCACAGTGGCAGAAAAATCCACATACTGTTGTTCCCATGTGTTTTTTTTTGCACAAATCGTTTTTTTTTGGGGGGGTAAAACCCCGCCTTAAAACGCATCCGTTAACGACTCCGAGCCAAAAAAAGAAGATAGAGGGGAATGATAATCCTGATTATCCCCCACCCACCCCTTTCTGCTTCCTCGGGTGAATTCAGGGATGAGCTGAGATCATTTGTGTTTCTGTTTGGTGAGTGCAACGTGGAAAGGAGGCGGCGGGGCATACATTGGGCAAATCAATGCGATGTGGGTTTCACATCGAAAATCAGATTAATATAGCAATTCCAGGCAGAGGGCGAAACCTTGGGCAAGTTTCCTTACTCCACACAGAGCCTAATAATAGTCCCTCCAAAACCAAAAACAATAATAAATTGGTCATTTTCAATCTACGACCGTTTGTGGGACATTGCTGTGCGCAATTGACTGCCGCGTTCGCCCACAAATATACAGTCAATTCACTTTACGGTGTGTTCTGTGAAGCGCTTTGGGACGTCCTCCCGACGTGAAAAGCGCTATATCAAATGCAAGGATTATTATTATTATTATTAAAGTATTTCTCAAGCCATTTCCCCATTTCTTGGAAATAACAGAGAAGTCCAGTTTCCACCCCTCTCCTGCCAAAAAAAAGTGCTACTTTATTTTCTACTGCTCAGTGTTTGATTACATGGAAGAATGAGATGGTTAAATTGGTAACACCTCATACCTTGTTCTCACATTACAAAATAGATGGGAGACAGACAGTTACTCCACAAATAGTAGAAACTCCCAACTGAATCTGGTGGATCAGAGGAGGAGGAGGGTGGGGAGAAGAAAGCTAAAAAATTATATTCCACAAATTTAAGCTTACATTTAAACCAAGATGGGTATTCATATTATCTTTAATCGTTTCAGGCATAATTGCCGATAAAAAAAATAGTTTCTGGTTGGAAACTTTCAAATGGTATGTCAGAGGAAAACAATATTTAAGACGGTTGTTTAAGAATTAAGAATTTTGTTCATGTTAAAGTTAATAATTAACATCACACAAATGTTCTGTTCCATGTAACCATTTTCGATCATAAGATGTGTTTGTGTAAATGTGCAGAATGCTTTATGCTTGATTGGATTCCTTTGGGAATGTGATTTTAGAAGATATTTTTAGATCTCTATCCAGGGTTAATTCCCCCCTCCCCCCACTTCAATCTTACCAGTGGCTCAGAAACAGATCTCACAAAACTGGCCAAAGCTTTTTGCACAGTGTAAGGCCTAAACAATGCCATGGGTTACTGTACGGTAAAAACATATGTAATTCCAAATGCCAAAGATTAGATCTAAATAAGAATATGCAAGAAAAAAGGGCACTACAGAGTATGAGAAATTGTAGCATCTGATCCGCAACTGAGACATCAGTGATATCACATACATATAGAGCTATTACTTCTACATTCATATCTAAATCCGCGCAGATGATAAATGTTAAGATTGCTGTTATACAATTTCTATGCCATTACATGTTAAAAAGTCGTTCTGCCCATTAAAATCTGATCAGACAAGATAAGAATGAATAATGTATTTAAGGGTGGGGGGGTGGGGGGGCGAGAGCTGAAACTTTTATTCTGGGCTTTGCAATCTGATTTAGCCAGTGTACTCCATCCACTAAATGGCATAAAACAATTACCTGTCACAAATAAAAAGCATACAAAGCCCATTATTACACCGTTCATCAATCTGCAACATTACTGTTAATGCAGGTCGATATTGAAATGCAAAACGTTGGTAATTATCCAGTTGCCAAGTTAGCAGAATGATTTGGTCCTACAGCATTATTAGCTCTAAACAGTCATTTATACTTAGTTCATTGCAAAGTCACCTTTCACCTGAGATTCTTGCTCTTGAGCACTGAGAGATGGTATTTTGCACGTATGAAAATGTCATTTCTTTTTGTTAGGAAGAAGAGGGGAACGGAACGTTGAAAAAAAAATTATTGATCGATTTTTAAAAAAAAAATCTAATAATAAAAATGGAAAGCTGGTGTCACTTCATCTACAAAAAATCATGTTTATTCCCTGAAAGTAGAGAACACTTAAATGAATTGTGTCATATTTTCTAGTCGGTGGTTTCTCAGTTCCAAATAGTGTATGAACAAACAGTAGAAAGCTGATTCAGCTTTCGCTGTGCTCCCAGATCCAGCTAATATTTGCCACCATTAGTTTTTGCATTGCGGGAATAATGAATAAGGGGAGACCGGCGGTTAAAGAAGAGAAATTAAATTAAGAGAAATTAAACATTAATACATTCATAAAATAAATTCATGTTAAGTTTGAACCGATTTCCGGTGTAGGCCCATAAAAGATTCAGTGAAATGAAAGTTGCTACTTTCTAAAATAAACTGTGCTCTAGGTGGGAAATCTGATAATAATAATCCTTGCATTTGATGTGGTGCCTTATCGCATCTTCGATACGTCTCAAAGCGCTAAACAGAATATACTGTAAAGTGAATTGACTGATACGTATAAAATATATATATTTATACATAAAAAATAGTGACTTTCCCTATTTTAAAAGAAAGTTCTGGTTCTTTTAGGTTTAGATATGAGGCAACTGAGAACTGGATTGCGCTACAACATCAGGTTGATACTGTATTTAAACTAAAGGAGGGGACAGACAATGATCAAATAAATCATACTATCTTACATGAGTCAAAGTTCTTCGGTTTATGTGGCTTTATCAACTAACTGTTATCTTTGGCAAACGGTGGAATTATTATCCGTTTTAATACAATATAATTGTTATTTTACTAATAAATACGAGAGGGTAATTTTATGTCCATTTCTGATAAGGTGGAGGCTCCATGAAGATTAGTGATTTTAGGTGTCATTAAAACTGACTGTTTTTCTCGCCATCACTGGAGACGTTTGACCCAATTTTTTTTCCTGGTACTGTCTCTGGAGATCTTTCATAAAATAATCCAAACTCACCTTCCTGATCAGAGATCTGATGGCGTTTCCCAGTTGCTAAATGCGATGGGGCCTCACCAAGTTATGGCAAGGAACAATTATTTATAAGATGACCTTTTTTGGGCGGGGGATGTGGTGGGGGGGGATATTTTGTTTAGCGTTTATTTTGCTTATAAGGCGCAAACCTTACTGAAAACCATTTTTTCTTTCTCCTTCGAGAAAGAAGTCTGTGTTCCTCGATTTATTTATGATCAAGAGTGTCGCTCATCGTGAGCAGCCACGCCACGCCGCGACTCGTTACCAAGTACAGTCACTTGCAGCACAGCAACGCAAAGCTATCAATCTCCTGCCCTCGAAATAATTTAGGGCCAAATACATCTCAATACCAGAAAGGTCAAAATCTGGACCATCTTGTTCCTGTCGAAGTCTCAATGCCTTTTGGAGCACAAGACGAAATATTTAACTTTAAAACAGTCGGTGCCACATACACTCACAACTGGACCTGAACGGATGGACCGACCTTTAGTGATGGGAGTATATAATCGGTATATAATAATTAGGGGCTAACGCACTAACTAACAAACACGCCGACACATTTACCGAGAGGTGAGGAAGGAATTGGTTGTGTTTCGTGAGAAGTTGCACGCACTGTTTTATCAGCAAAGATACAGAAATCGACATTGGTTTTCGTAACCCAAACGTGTGTGGTGGAGAATATACCCTGAAAGCGTCCAACAGCATTGGATTGCGTTCGTTTTCAATCATTGAATAAACCTGACAGGTCAATAAAATTGTTACGTTAACTGTGAAGGAAGGGAAAGCAGAACGAAAATACGCTTTGGTTGTGTGCCCGAGTTTTCTTGTGCACAGAACCTCTTATATAAAACCTTGTGCTGCAGGACATCCACCTCATGCACAAAATGTAGAGTGACTTATCATCCCACAAAATTACCTGCCAAAGTACAATAACTTCAGCTTCAAACAGCGCAGCTTTTGGAAAACATCCAAACGAAAATTGTGAAACAGAAACCTCTTACCAAAAAGTCACTGTTAACTGATCAGAAGGAAATATTCCAGATTAATTCATGCAATTTGGTGGCAAAACTGAGCACTGCGGTTTACTGGTCCAACATTAATTGACAGCATCCAGTTAATGTAACTGCTTGACTTGCAGTTTTTACTCTTTCCAGTGTAATAGGTTACCAATTCAATCGAATTGTTTTATCTTCCCTACAGACATTTCCCTTACTGTTGGATTAGATCTGAAATGTTCATGTTTAACTCAGGCCCGAAATTCCATCTGATATTACAATGTGGAGACCTCAATCGCCCACAAACACAAAATAAAATTCACGCGAAAGAGCCTCGAGACATTTGCACTACGTGATTATTATTATTATTATTATTATTATTATCATTATTATTATTTTGTGTTCATTTCTAGTATTGCGCAGAAATGGTGCAAAACTCTCAAGGTGGAAGTCTGTTTCTTTTTAAGGCCGAATTGAACGATTTTCCCCAATCCTGTCCGGTTTTAGGATTGAATGCAGAAGGGTGTCACTGCCTCGGCAAACCTTGGGATCTTAATAACGTTACTTTTCATCTCCAAATAAGACTTTCCTCTTGAACGCACCTCTACTATTTCCATAGAAAACATGTTACCAACTGCACACACTGCGACCGTTGTCAACGTGGTGTTAAACACTCAAGTCAGTTTCACGCTAATAATTGGGTACCTCTATTAAATGGTCGGAAATTGTAATTTTCCGTCCATTTGTTCCAGTGACTGGTTGATGGTAAACGATCATTTGCGATGGCTTGATTTACACTGTGCATTGCTGGGTTTGGAGGCCTTTTTCACAGCCACGTTCTGGTTGACACAATTATTATTCCAACGATGTGCAGCGCGACGCGAAGTTACGGGAATTATAAACGTAGGTTGAATTGAAGAACATGTGCCATCAAATCAAAACCACCTCAAAGCCACCTCTGCAAACCCCGCAAGCTGAGAGTTGTCGCATTTGCAACCCCCCCCCCCCCCCCACCCCCGCCCCAGAACAACCCAACTTCGCCGTCTGGGTCCACAAACGCCTCGTTTTTTTTCTTTTAAAAAAAATTCATTGAGAAACGTCCGCGTTGAACGCGATCGCTTTTTACGCGTTTTCTTCTCAAAATGCAAACAATCCGTTCCGAGAAGGATTCGTTCCAAGTGCAGTTTCACTCGCGAAGCGAAGCAGAGGTGGGATTGAGTCGGTTTAGCGCACACGAGTACACACACAAAAAAATGCAAACATATGCATCTGATTCAGACACTTGTGACTGACTGACTGACTGACTGACTTACCCCCATTGGGTCCCCGAACAGGTATAGGTGTGGGTCGGCTCTGCAAGTTGTGCAGCATTGAGTTTTCGAAAGATCCCGCCGCAGTCCATGCCGAAGTCAGCTGTGGCCCAACATAAGGGTAGGGACTCGGGTAAGATCCGTTCAGAGGACGGCCCAGAGCGCCAGCGAACTGATCTCTGCCGTTCATGTTCAGACTGTTACTGTAGCCGGAATCTCTGGCCGCTCCGTTCGCGATGGGCGGACTGGCGGAGAAGGAAAAGCGACTGGAGACCATGGGGTGAGGGTTGCTGGAGCTGAAGGTGGAGCTTTCCGAGGCGGGCTGAGTCCACACCGAGTGGTTGGTAACGTGGTGACCCTGCTGGCTCGATCCGGTGCCTTGGAGGTAGGGGAGGCTGGGCACCATGGAGCTCACCCTGGTTGTGGGAACATAGACGGGAGAACTTGTGCTGGAGTGCATGAAATTGTTGGGAGCATCGTGCGGGTAAGACCCCGGTCCCTGGGTGGCCGCCACCGGCAAACTCTGGTACATCTCAATGGACGGGTGAGTCACAAATTCGCCTTTTACTCCTCTTGACAGAAACAGTTTGGTGGTTTGATCCAGGTCGGTGATGAAGGTGGCGAGCTCTTCCGAGCCGTGGCCGAAGTGGAGGTAAGCGTCCACTGACCTGCCCTGGAGGAGGTGGCTTCTGCCCGTGTCCAGGCTGGTGGCCGTGCTCCCCCCCGACCTCAGTCGCTCTTCGGACTCCGAGCTGCCCTCGGCCCCGTTGTGGAGGCGACCGGAGAATTTGAGGTAAGGCGGCTCACCCGGAGAGCTCCTGCCGTTCGCCGGTGGGTGCTTTGCCACGTTTGACCAGTTGGGTTCATTCACGTCCATTCAGGTTGCCTGGTTCTGGAGACCCAAACACCCACCCAACACCCACCCCCACCCCCCACCCAAAAAAAAAAGAGAGAGAGAAAAGAAATGCACACAGTCAGTGGAAAGGAATAACAGCACGTCAAGGAAATGGTGGGGTGGGGAGAGGATGTGGGGGGTGGGGGGGGGGGGGGTTGGGGGGGGTGGGGGGGGGGTAAGAGAACCCAACACATCTCATGTCAGTCGCTAATTGGATTCAGTAAACCTCCTGCGATTATCACAGTCTCTCCCTCAGTTACAGAGGTTACAGTTACAGACACGTTGATGCCCCATTTCGAAAACCAAAATACTCTCAAATCGAATCACTCGGGTCTGTCTTTCCATACAATATAATTCATTTAAGACTCAAAAGATCAGACATACAGACAGACAGACAGACGGACGGATAGACAGACAGACAGACAGACACAGGGAATTCCTGGCCCCCACCGGCATCCTGGTGTACTGGCTTCTTCAAGTGAAGGATAAAGTATCCTATTTTATTTTACGGGGCTGCTAGACAGCGACGTTGATATTTATGCTAAGAAATAAAAGTATTTTCCTGACAGTTCTGTGGCTTTAAACCCAATGCATCCTCTCTTAAAACTGCACAGCGTATATCACCATTTAGTTACTGGTGGTCGCCGGATTTTCAGAGTAAAACTGAAACGGATTTGGGCTTTGGGAAAGTCAAACTACTGTCCTTGATATCCAAGTTAATAACTAACATCACGGTTGCCACAAAACGGATTGAACCAGAGCTTTAAAAAGTGTGCACAGGGAAGTTTCAGCAAATCCATGGCATATGTCCTTATGTTGTTGTTGTTGTTGTTGAAACAAGTTAACTTAGACGTTGCCATTTTAAGTTTCGTTACCTCTCGTGAATTCCAAGTTATATATATGTGTGTGTGTTGTGTGTGTGTTGTGTGTGTGTTCGCTCAGGTACAACATGGAGATCAGTGTAAAATTATTCATTTTACACTAAATATCTGATGACATCATTTTGTTGCAGTTGAATTAACTGTAGCAAACGAAGCCTGGTTTGTAAACACAGTTGGCGCCTGTGGATTCGTTATAGACAGTGTGAATCAACCGGATCCACGCACCCCATCTTTCAGGCGGCTTCAGTGGAAACAGCTGAAAAATGTAAGAAGCTAAAATCTCTAACAGGGGTGAGGCTCACAGTGAAGGCTGCACTGCACTGATACCGACCGTTTCTTTTATCTTTAACAGGATAAGGCTGCTTTAAACATGATGGTTTCTTTCGCACTCACTCGCACACACCGATACACACACGCACACACATACGATGCAAGTCTTAAGCACTGCGAACCTTTTTTTTTAAGGTTTAGATTTGAAGACATCCCTCGCGGGGCTCACGAACCCACCCGGTCATTGAGCCAAACCTTTGGCAAACCACACTGCGTGCGCCTCGCCTTTTAGCCTTTAACTCGGGTTGATCTGACACGGCCAAATAGTTTGAAAAGCTCCCTTCATAGCAGGATATTACCGTCCGCGGTACACTCAATGTTACTTGGCAAATACTCATGTCTCCCCTCTGTTACTAGCTGTTAGTTATCGAGACCGAACTGCTGGACGCAACTTCGGCACAACTTGTAACCGGGTAAGTAATTAGTTGGTTCCTGCTCGCGAAAGCGCTGAGGTTTCTGTAGATAACTTCATCAGAAATTACAGAAACCACACATCGATATAGATAGGCACAAAAAAACGAACAGTAATATGTCTTAGTTACGCCAGACTAGAGCCAGATAACTCCGAGATAAGAACTATAATAGATAAGAACTAAACGCGCGACAAATAACTTTAAAAAAAACATCCAAGTGCTATCTATCCAACTATCTAACTATCTATCGCAGGCGTCATTATTTAGACTTGAACCTGGTCACTGAGCATCTGAAAAGAGTGTGAAAGGAAGGAAAGAAAGAAAGGTGCCGACCTAATGGTGCTTTGCCATCAGTTTGGTGTTTGTAGAAGTCCAGTATGTCTTAAGACCAGTCAGTGTGTCTTGGTGCTGGTGGAGGGTAGAGTGCGCCTCTCTGCTCTCTGCTGGGCTATTTGAGTGGAGGCAGCGCCTTGAGCACAATTCAGTGGGAAACTGGGGATCCTGATTGGATTCACACAGTGCTGACTAAACACGATGCAGCGCCTCTACAGGGGCGCCAGCCCTGACATCCAGCACCGCTCCCATCCTCACACACTGCTCCCTGCCAGACAGACTCTGCAGTGGATATCATCCCACCCGCCCCACTAAACATCTGCACTTCCCGCTGATAGGTACAGAGCCCCCCCCCCCCTCCACCACCACCGAAAAAAAAGGGAATGAAAGGGAATCAAAGTGTGAGGCAGACAGAAAAGCAACGAATATGTTATAGACAGCGGCACCCTCCACACTGAAGGTTAACTTAAAAGTAACTTGTTTTGTTAGTCAATCTACCTACAAGGAGAGACGTGTGATGTAGACCCCCAACATATGTGTAGACCTTGCGTTGGGGGGGGGGGGGGGACAGTGGAAATAGAACTAAGGATAATTTTACAAATATATTCAGTAGCGAATCTCACATCCACCTGCTTTCTTTATTGGATCATTTAATCGTAACCGGTTTGAACTAAACGATAAAGCGCCCCTCACCCCCCAACACACACTATAAATTACACTGTGCAATCGTACACGTTAAACAGCGTCAGCGCCACACACTGTACTAACCTTCCGTTAGTTTTCTCTACGGCTTTGCTTCTATGGTCTTGTAAAAAGATGAACTGGCGCATCACCCGGGGAGGGGGTTGGTGGTGGTGGTGGTGGTGAGGGGGGGTGTTGGTTGCAAAGTTAAAATAACTTGGCTGCCCTGAGGTCAGGTGTGGAGTTCTGCAGTAAGGTTTCCTTCATCAATCTTCAGGGTGTTAGCCAGAAACCACTGGATTGCACTATCCTCCAACTGGAGTAGACACAAGACAGTTTGCACATTTCGGGAGTGAAATAAAAGCAACCATTAAAAACAACCCCGCGTCACTGAAGGTAACTGCTTTAAGAGACGCGAACAAGATAAGGCTCCTGTTTAACTGGATTACCCATTTATTTCACCAGCAACATTTGTAAACATTTGTGTAAAACCAGCCACCATCGGCGGCTGCAGAGGACTGCGGCCAAAAATGAGTCGAAATCTAAAATGGTAAAGATTTTTCCCCCCCAAAATGTGTGTCTCAGCTGGTGCCCTCTGCATTTCTGTGCTCTGATTCATTCTTGTAAGTCAAACGCATCATATGTCGGTGCAGCAATATTTCCACACACCGAGAGAAACATATCACGTTAGGACGGTTTTCATAAACCTCTTATATCCCTTCGTTATCTTGATTTCCAGCTCCCAGCACAGCAATCCTGCCTTCAAAAGCAACATTTTCAGCTATCTCCGTTCTTTGGTTGGAATATCCCACCGAACGTGATCGATTTTTCTGTTAAACGTTCACAAATACCAGCACTAAAATTCGTCACCTATTAGGACGAGCACCGAAAACAATAAATCCGATCTCCCTGGGGTTGGTTTTGCAAACTTGCTTTAATTTAACGAGGCTTGTTTTAATTCTGTTATCAGTTTAGCAAAATCCTCGCGTCCACTCCGGCGAGGGAGACTTTTTTTTTGTTAAACTTTGCTGCCGTTTGCTAAGTTTTTTTTAAAAAAAAGTGTGTGGGGGGTGGGGGGGTCAATGCATTTTAATACTGTATTCTGTACCATTAGTTTGTTAGCCATTTGCATCGGTTATAATCGTCAAGTCAGGGTTGTCTCGGCGTCAGAAGCCCGACTCCTTCCCAATTACTTTCCAGGGATTGAACCAAAAATAAAAGTAAGTGAGAATTTCCTCCCGGGATTCACTACACCCACCACACACATGGGAAGTGGTGTAAATTAAATCAAACAAATTAGTCGGACCTTCATGTCAGATCTGCGACAGCTTTGACTAAAAAAAAGTCCACGTTTTGTCATTCGTGGTGGTGGGGGGGGAGTGGTGGTGGTGGGACAAAAATAATTTTGGAATAAAACGAAATAAAAGATTGACTTGCAGTCCGCTGGCGAAAAGGGATCTTCTAAACACAGTGGGAATCACCGGGTTTCAGGGCTTTTCTCAGAGGTAAAATCCAGGTCACCTTTTGAGGCATCAAAGACAAGAGCCCAGAGTCCCTGAGCTTCACGGATTAATAAGTAAAACCGACAATATATATATATATATATATAAACGTATATATATATACATATAAACAACAATAAAAGGGTCCTTAAATGTTTCGTTAAGTCAGAGACGTTAATGTAAATGTATGATATAATTTGTTTTGCTGTGGTATTTTATTCAGGAGCACTTTGCACACGTCTGTCCTGTACTGACATGTGTTCGACTATTGCAGCGCACGGGATATCGGCTGTTGACGCATTTTACGCTTTAATTCGCTGCAAACTGTCACGGTTTGACACGATTTTTCAGCCAACATGAAAGACGGCTTTATTTCTCACTGCCCGCGGCATTGCAATTTCCTACAATATCTGTAACAGTCCCGACTTTACTGAAGAGGAAAGTTAATTATGTTTGATGGTGAACGACCAAGGCCGTTTCATATTTGTTACACATACATACTTTTTGCAAAAAAAAAGTATATATTGTGTGTGATGCTCGTGTGTGTCTGTCTGTGTCTGTGTGTGTGTGTGTGTTTGTCAGACAATTTGACGCTGCCCTGAATATTAACCCTGAATGTTTACGGCGAGGACATTGGACACAATGTGGGTATTGGGAGAGGATATTTCACACTGAGGACACTAATTTATAATTCATATCGCAGACAGAGGAACGATGAGGTCTGTCGAGGAAATGCGATTTGTTTATGCCGGTGACGGCTTTCCACAGATAAAATCTGATGGCGCAGTGCGCCCGCACTGGAGGATGTCGAGCTGTTGTCGAAGGTTTGCGGGTTTCACGGTGGGTTTGGGTCGTCAGCCGAGCAGTGGGTTTCCGCAGAGGGGGAGGCGGGCTGGGGTCTGCTCGGCACGGGGGAGAGAGAGAGGGAGGGAGAAAGAGAGGGAGAGAGAGAGGGAGGGAGACTCTTGTCGGCAGTCAGTGGAAGAGTGATGAGGTGACTGGACTAAACAGAACAAGCTGTGTGTGTTCTGTCCTGATAGCAGTGCTAAAGAATGGCACACAGGAATGAACACTGGACGCCGCACTGTCTCCCCATCAGGGAGCTCTTACATTAACAGGCTGCAGGGAAGAAAATAACAGCAAAACATCACATTCCCCCAATTACTTACAGTTGAACCTTAGTGCAATTTAACGCATCCAGTATGTTCATGCATACAAAGAATGCACTCTGTATACAACATATCTACTCATAATTTATGAATACAATTTGAGGCTTTAGCCATACAATAAATTATGTAGTGTACAAATTCATTTTAATGTCGATATATTTCAAAGGGCAGTGATATGGATGAATCGTGATTAAATCAATCTTATCTCAAGTGCAACTTCATGTTATTTTACGCCTATCTTAAATAAAATGATCAGTTATTTGCAAAATACGACCGTCTTTGTTCTGATAACTGTCTACAAAAGAATAGAATTAGTGAAGTTTTACATTTGGGGAATTAAACTTTCAATCTACGGCACCTTTACTATTATCATGATACTATTTTTAACCTGCTCTTTGCATAATTCACTTTCAACTCTCCAGATTGTTTTACTCGCTGCGGTTAATTAAATTTAGGTGAACGCTTGACATATGCATTTTTTTTAAAAAAAAACACAGGATATACTTGTACATTTACAGCAGCCAAAACAGCGTATGAAAGAAGCTAAAGACAGTTTAACGTTTGAGGTAAGGCCCTTCATCGAAATTGAAAGGCTGGACTGTGGGAGCCGCTTTATAGGGCAAGTGAGATCAGACCAAGGAAAAGGAGATTAGGAAGTAATTTAAAAAATAAAGACGTTTCCCAGCTCACAGTTTTAGTTCTGACGGAGGGTCCTACCTCAACTATTAACCTGTCTTAGCCTTTCAGATGCTGAGTGACTGCTGGGGATTTCCAGCATTTTTCTGGTTTCTTTCAAAATTCCGCCATCGCACGTTTTCTTTTCCTTATTTTTATATTGCCTGATATATAAAAAAAACATTTCTGTGAAGTAAGGGCAATCGAAACCTCGCCCATTATAAAACACATCTTCCACCTTAACCATTCACTTTCTCTCTCACTCTTGTTTAATGGGTGTATTTTAGTTGTCCGTTCATGCTCACACTGTCTCGGTGACACACTTCTCCACGTCTACAAATCACACTGTATAAAGTATCCTTTGTTAAAACGTTGCAAGACTTTTTTTTTGGGGGGGGGGGGGTTATTTATACCGTTTACCAAACTGCAGTAAATTGTATGAAACACTTCCAAGCGCGAGTTAAATCATTTGGAATTAGGAGCTGTGCAAGAAGTGAGAGAAGCAGATTATGTTTTTATTTTCACAGTCCTGGATTTTTGCTGGCGTTGTGTGGTGACCAGGGCAGATTGCTCAACACAGTTACAACTAGTTTGCTCTCAGTTTTGTTTTATTACAGATGATTCCGTGCTGCTGCCTATAGCGCCGCACCTACACAACCACTCTGTGTGGTGCGACTGTCTCATGCTGTAGTTTTGCCGACTCTCAATACATTTTATTTCCAAAAAGGCGCTGATACCATCAGCAAGTTGAAGCGAAAAAGGCTCATTTTTCTGGTGTTCAAAACAATCTCCTGAAATGAGGTTCAGATCAATTCAGAAAGCGCAAGCTCATGTGGCTTTTAATAAGCAAAGGGAATATTAGGTAAAATGTAGCAATGAAGAAAGAGGTGCAGTCGTATCATAATCAGCTTTTTTTTAAAAAAACAACTTCTGCTAAATATGAAGGTCTAAAATCACGCTTCTCTGCACTCTAATTATAGATTACTATAATTTAGAAATGCCGAAAGATATTTTGAACTCATAAGCAAAAGCATTGCATAAATAAAACATGCACCAAATGCACTGGAACAGCAAATCAGTGATCACAGTGCTGACAATCCAGCATTGCTTAAAATATTAATGGCTTATTCTTGAAAGTGTAGGAGTCTTTCAAAAGTATAGAGGTCTCTAAAATGAGGTTACCACTTTAGAAAATGTTAAATTCAGACCAAATAGCCCGTGTTTAGTAGCCAAGATAAATTATTTGTGCACAAAGTACAACGCTCACTATGCTTAAATTTGTGATTTGCTTCCCAGACACATTCATATTCTGCTGCAAAACATTATGTTTTGTAATCAGGAATGTAGCAACGAAAATAAAATTCAACAAAACTGTGAACGCAGTTATTGGACCAGGTGAACTAATTATGAGGTGTAAAATATACTTGGGGCATGATATACCCAGATTTATACATAAATACTCACACGAGTTTGTTTTGTTAAAGTGTATGTTGGTTAGCTTCACCCAACTCATGATGTATTCAGAACTATTGATAAGAGATCAATAGATAGTGATTTTTTAAAGACTGGACGGGTTGTCTTGTCTTCTATTTAAGGAACATTGAAAACACGCAATTTCTCAAATTCAAGATTTTACCTTTCTCGTTTGTGCGTTCTTAATCTTAATTTGAGAATCTTAATATTTGACAGAAGTTGGTCAGAGTATGATAACGCTGTCTATTAAAAGTTAGTCACTCTCTCTTGTCTGCATCTGATTTTTTTTCAGGCTGAGAATTGGTGGATTTTAGTGTCACGGATATCGTAGTTTGAAACTGATTTTGATGACATTACCAGGGATTGTTATTTAAGAAATTGTACACGATCAAAGCGAAACATGGTCAAAGCTCCAGAGGAAGCGAGTCCTGTATATTTAGTGTTGAATGTTCTTCACACATTTCAATGGGTTCAGGTTTTTGCATCAAACATCTTGCAATTACACCACTGCTGCAAATTTAAATAGCAAATAAAGTTTGGAATGTATTATTTCGTTATTACCATCCCTTTTTGTAGATTTTGTGCGCAGGGGATCAGATGTGAAATGGCTACATTGAACAGCGAGTATTTGTAATTATGTTCATTAGATACAGTGATGATCATCATCAGGTGTTGATGGTGCAACTATGTTACATGAAGAAATATGGATTTTTCACATTGTCTGTTTCAATGTTTAACCACTCGAATTAACAAACGGATATATTGTATTTACTTGTTTAGCGCTAAGTTACAGAAATGCCCAATCCCTTAACTAAGAGAAAAAACGAAAGGGTCATTCATACATTTCTCAGCTACAAACCGACTGACACTGACAGCCCTGTATGTCCAGACAGCTGTGCAATTTCTGTGTGTAACCCTTGTTAAGATCACGATTTTACCTATTGCATACGGTTACACTTGTTTTCATTACAATCCCTGACATGCAGACCACTAATATCATTTTCACAAATCTTAGCATAGGCGGACACCACCAGAATACATGCACATACATAGGTTTTCCACACACACGA